CCCTCACGGCGTATAATCTCTTCCGTGCATACCCACCACAGGGAAAAGCGTGAAAACCCTGTGGCTAACCGAGTGTGCTTTCATCATCCCACAAGTACAATATCACCGCGAGAGAATGTGGTGTTTGGGTCTTACTGAAATTGAACCAGATTTCTCCTGTCTCGATTGGGGTAGGTGTTCAAGCTACCCAGTATCTACTTGAGAGAACGGCCCGGATGGTGTACCACTGCACCATCCAACCCATTCTTATATACTGGGTGTTGAAGTTAGTCTTTCCAGTTATAGTAAAGACAGGGATGTGTAGAATATACGTCACTAATCTCCCATTTGATTTGATTTCATTTAGCCCGTTCAGGTACCCTATGGGCCCATGCAGATATAACTAACTATAATATTTACATCGGAGGAAACCAAATTCGGTAAAAACCCCCTTCAACTGTCTATCTCGTGTCTATTTTTTTCAAGGTTTCCTACAGGAAGTGCGATTACACTGTTTATACAGCGTGAAATCCGTCTTATCCTTGTCCACATCGTCTCACCCTTTCGTCCAATGCTATTTCTACTTCTCCTGCAAGCCGGAACTGTTCAAGCCAGCCGTTTGTAAGTATCCACCCTATGATTCTCTTCATGTCTTCCGGGCTGTTCATCATTGCCGCAAATGACCTGTCTTTTGCCTTTCGAAGCACCTCTCCTCTTCCCATTGTCCACTGAGGACACGCCAAGACCATATGTTTGACATTTTGGATTAATCACTCCGGGGACTTTCCTTCGATACAGATAAGAATTGAGACCAATGTTCTCACTTCTTATCTGAACTGCAATACTGCTTTGGGCCCTACTAAGGTTTCAGTGGATGTTTGAGGGTGTGATTCTATATGTAATCCTTTTTCTGCCCGTTGTCTCATCTGTAACAATATTTGCGGCTTTCCAATCTAATCTCCCATTAATTGTGAGGTTAGTATTAATGCGCTTTGAAGTAAATACCAACCTCTAGATTTTATTATTACAAAATATAATTTATATAGCACTCTATGTCCTAGTGGGAGTAATTAACGACTCTCCACGACAGATTTATAGACTCCTTTACTTTCCAACTCGCTTCACCGAGTGACAAAATCTGTGCCTAACGGCCACAAGCTTTTGCAAGCCAATCCGCTCAACAAAGGAAATATCGAATGACCTGATGCCCTAATGGTCTTTCATGTACCAGCATATAAATGATGACTAATTATGTTGATGAATAATGAGTTTTCTGTTTAGGAATGGCGATAAGAGAGAGGGATAAGTGCTGTATATACGTGTTTCCTTTGGTTAAAAAGAGAAGAATGAAGATACACGTTAACCACAAATTGTTATTACTGCTATTGAAAGCGTGTGGCATATATACTATTAAAGCTTTAGGGGGTATCAGTAATACGTTAAGGTTCGGAGCTGTGGGAGGTCGCAAGTACTCTATTGTTTTCTATCTACGACGCGTAAATACACGACCACCGCACTACTAGTTCTAATTACATAACCACAATAAGTAGCCCGCTACATCTCCGTATCTGTAATGATAGAAGTGAACGTTGACCGTCAAGTCAATACTGTACGAATCGTAAGATATTGGGGGTTTCAGGATCAGAGATAAAAGGCTAGGATCATTGAGGTTTTTGGTTTTACTGAACTTATATTTAGACAGTTAAATTGTTTGGTTAAATCTACGTCTAATTGTCTATCTATGATCTACCTCGCTTAGGTATAAACATTATGTTCTGATTACGTGATGGAATAACATTCACACCACCGAGATCAATACCAACCGAGACCTCACCAAAGCTGGTAGCGATCGAAGACGAGTAGTCTTCGTCTACTCCGCACTGCGTGCAGTTCGGTCTGGTATGTTTAGATTTCAACACATACCACCCGAGTATTACGACAGGAAACTTTGTTTTAGGATAATGAACGGAGGTTGAGACCTCATTATAACTTGCTCCAGACTTACTTTGTTATTCACAGCCTAGTGCTAGAGCATTCCTTTATGATATCATTTCTCCCCCACGAGAAATAGCCATCTCGTTTTCCCTCAGTCCATCAGTCTCTATCTGATTCTATTATCTCTATCCTATCGAGTTCTAGTTTGGTCCATAATACCTACACATGCATTACACACTAAACATCCCACGGTTTAGTTCGACTGTCACGTGCATATACTATGATGTGGACTTATATTATGATATGAGACAACGAGGTAGTGGAGGCTAGAGCATCGCGTGTGGCTCAAGGCTACAGCCTACATCACTACTTCCAATGAAGAAAACGACGCCTGGATGAGATGAGAAGATGCTGAGATGAGCCTAAGCTGGGAATGAATGGAAGGGAAAAGTTACAGATGGCGAATGTGTCAAGGGCTCGGGCGCGTGGTGGCCGAGGTTGAGGAGGAATTTGCGCTTCGGCGCGCCAAAAGGGGGTTCTCTGGACGGTTGTGCTTGATGTGATTCAACCCATGGGTGAAGTCTGAGGTGGTCCGGTTATTCAGGTGGAACGAGGTAAATGTACTTACTGGTAGTTAACCTGATGCGGCCCGGCCCCACCCGTGCTTAAGGTCCAGTAGGAGTGCAACGGGAATCACTATAGGTAGCACGTAAAGGAACAAATAAAAATTCATCGCTAGCCGGCAAAGACGAATTCTTCACCTTCCAGTGGTGTCGGTGTAATCGCTCAGTATGCTCTGCATATCTGGAAGAGCCAAGAAGAATCGCAACCGAATCGAAGTCGAAAGCAAAAACATGCATATCTCCATATGACGACTTCTCAATCATGCAGCACTCACCGTTATCTTCTGAGTCCTCACCTACCGATAAAGGCCTCACCCCAATTGCGAACAGGAGCTTGCCTGATTCATTACCGGCCATCACCCACTACAAATTTACGACGCTACGTATACCCGCAAGGAGGAAATTAAGTCATAATATACAAAGTTGGGGTCTTGATTTATGGGGGACTGCTGCTCCAATGGGGTTATACATCTTGAAGAGGGATAGGCGGCTGAGATGTGGAGCGAGAGGGGGAAGAGGTCTCCGGTTCAATCCCGGATAAGGCCCTTTGTTTTTGTTTTATGAGCAACTAACGGTCGTCACAGACAGCGTCTATAGCCGTCTTTAACACTACGCAATAAATTTTAATTGCAAATGCAGCTATTTAACCAAGACAGAAAACCAGAGAAGAAGTACATATCAAATGAATTTATGTAGAACTAGAGCACTCATGTCTCGGATTTCACTTTTAATTACCACTGCGAAGTTATGCCGACTTTTTCTTCACCTCGAGTCAACCCTCATCCGTGAAAGCCCAGCTAGGAGAACGTCTCAAAACCCCTGAGTTATCCAGTCGTGCCTCCATCATCCACTGAATTTTCTCCGCGCGAAAATTAGTCTGTGGCGTCTCCTTACGTGGTGTTCCTATGCTACTCAAACTACACCAGTAATCATCGCCAGAAGACGGACCGCTGCACCTTTCATCGTTGGCTTGTGGTCAGGTACATGGATTCCAGTCGGGGCCAGAGATCGAGTGGACGAGGAGTAAAGGGTGGTCGTTATAACGAGTATGTTCTGGGTAGTACTTGCAAAAACATGATGAGGTTTGGTGGGAAATAGTCCAGTTGATAGTGGAGACTTGATGTAACTCAAAGTTTTCAACCATTGACTTGTGGGCCAAATTTATCAGTATTTCGCGGGGGATGGCGACTCAGCGCCTATCAGCGTCATCTCCCACGAGCCTTTAGCTCTCACTGTAGAGTCTGCAGAGCCGAGATCGAGTAACAAAGTCCTCACTTCGACGAGACTTCCCAATCGCTTTCGCGGTCTGTATCGTCTTCATCTCTCAACACATTCCCCTATCACCACTATCATGAAGCTAACCACTATCAGATCAGATGGTAGGGTCAAAGCCTTTCTCATCACCAACACTTGATCATGGAGGAAAAGCCATCAGATGAGTTTCTGAAGCGTACCCAGCACCCGATACGGAGATGGCGGATTGGATCAAGTCGACCTCAACTGTTACAAAGAAGGGAGATGTAGATGAATATGCGCACCTCATGTGGTCCCGGTGTCTAGGCCTCGCCTGGCTGGGGCTGCAGGTATTTTGAGTCTTTTTCCCGCGCTCGCAGTTTCCATTGCTACCATTTTATTTTTTTTGGGTAGAAGATTCCGTGGAAAAGGTGGCCGAATTTCACGGGTAAATACTGAGCTGAATAGCTATTCATCAAGGGCAATATATTAATGATCTTTTAAGGAACATGAGAGGTAAGGGCCACTACACAAGGTGTAGCCTGGTTCAGAGAGGAACCCAATGTGCTAGATAGTCATAGACTCATGTAGTACAATAAAAACATACACACACAAGTGGTAGTCACACACTTTCTCTCTCCCATTTCATCCTGACAGGCTGACTCAGAATTACTATAGTAGCAAATAAGTTTTCAAAAAACAGGAAAAAATCTTAGGACGAAAATAGAAGAATTATAGGCGAATTGGTGTAAAATAAACATCAATTTCCTGATCGATGGCGCGAAAGACGTCGGTCACGCTGTCAATTTAAGGAAACTAGATTTGACGGCTTACAAAGCTCAAGATTCTCGACAAGTCTTAGTTCAAAATATTTGTATGCATGAGCAAACCTTGTTTAGAGCATGAGGAGGTTTTTAATGGAATTAAAAACCATTGTGTAGTATTTGTGGTCATGCACCACTGCTACGCCGTTGCTGGATCCAAACGACGACACAGCGCATCGAACTAGCATCAATTCGCATTATGATCCCAGACCACAGGAGGTAAACTGTTCGTCGAATTCACCTCGATAATACTTGCTCCTTATCTCTGGCGTTGTGCCTCATCATCCAGCGCTTATCCGATACCTTCCAGAAGTAAAATCTGAGCATGCAGTTAAGCTCAGCTTCCGTAAAGTCTAGGAGGTGAAAAGTAAAGATCTCTCTAACATACACCCGCATTGGTCTAGGGTCAATAGGCAACTCTAAGTAAATTTATAGCCAAACAATGAGGCAAAATTCTCAAAGTAAAAATATCAATCATCACGGCAAAAAAATAATCCTCATTTGCACGGCTACAATTATCACGTGATATGCAAAGTGGATAGTGATTGGACAAGCTGGAATTAACATCTCTAGGGGTCGATAATATAGATTCTGTATCATGAGAGGAATAAGGTAAAGCCGATACACGTCGCACACCATCATATTGAGAGGATGAGGTACGGAATCCGCTACTAAGAGAGGCCTGGGGCGATAGCTGTGGACGACGGCCGACTACAATGGGTTGTAGGGTGCGCCATTGGGCCGGAACTGTCCAGCAGTGGCTATTACTATGCTCCGCCTCTAGCTGATTCTGGTTTGCACCCGGCCAAGGGGGTACCCTGCGCAGAGAAGTACGGAGATGATAATCAACATATTTTTCGTAGCGTAGGTTAGGTGTGTCCACTGAGACCGAAGCAAGAACCTGAAGAACCCCGTAAATCAAAACCCAGCGTTCTCGTCGGGCGTTATAAGGATCATCATCTGCAGGTCGATCTCCGAGTTCAAATTGGATATAGGCATCAACTAGATCATTGGTGACAAACTTTGAGCCTAGAATAAAAATGTTGGTGGAGTTTTGGTATGCCATTGCTGCTTGTTTTTCGTTCATGAAATCTTCTTGCTGTCGCATCTTCTTCGTTGCTCTTTTGCTACTCCTCTGAAGGAGTCTAGCTTTACTTAGCTGTGGAGTCAGGCAATAGGGATGGGGAATATGAGGATAGCCCATGCGACTATCAAAAGAGACAAGAATATCAGTCATAGGAAAATCAGGCGTATCTGGATCGAATTTCTCGTTTGTAGAGCACTTCATCTTCCACTTTCGGCCCGCACGTTCCTCCTCACAGTCCCACGAGACGGCTCTATCGACCAAATAGTCATAGAGAACGGCAAAATCTTGACTAAGCCGCTTCGATAAGCTTCTTGTCAGCCATTGATTTTTCTTATCCACAAAATTCGGAGGCCATGTACTAAATACTTTCTGGTAGTGTTGTACAAAAAATTTGCGGAGTCGAGCAAATGCAGAGCGTCCAGTCGTGGTAGAGGGGCCACAATGGTCAAAAGCACTCCACATATCGGTAAAATCAAAAGTGTTAAGCCGATACTCGCATTCTCGAACGAGTAATTGAAGCTCCATACTCGATCTATCTAGCAGTTTCTTAGTTATCGATGATAGATATCCATACTCCGGAAGAAACTCAAATTTACTGTCAAGATCAATGGCACGCATACCAACCGCGTGACAGTAGGCCTCTTTCCACCCTTCTTCCCAGCGAACTCCATCTCCTTCCGTCCAGGCTAGGAAAGACAATGCAGTTGACGGGTTTTGACGGGGATCGTCAATACCTCTTCTCGTGATCCATTCTATTATTAGCCCTGCTGAATCGCCATTTGCTGGCATATATTCTTCCACACGATCTCGGAGATCATAGAGCGCTTGATAAATGGTCTCACCTACTAGGGAAGCATTTAATAGTAATGCAAAAACATTGCGAGTGGTGACCTGATGACGTAGAACTTCCGTTTGTGATAGTTCACGTGGAGCTGGAAAGAAAATTTCGTAGGAAACAAGGCCATCGTAGCTACTGACTTTTGAAGTTGACATATTGTTACATGACTGATCATTAGAATCATGTGCGGCATGTATAACATTCTCAGTACAACTAGCTCGTAATAGCTTGATAAGTACGACTAGTTCAGAAGCTTCGATTATATGTGAGTTCAAGCGAAATGATGGCGGCGGACGTGGAAATTCCTTTTGAGCATCGCAAAAGTAGATAAGAGTGTCACCATTTGGATCAAATAACTCTGGATCTTTGCCAAGCTTACCCCACGGCTCGGCCAATCTTCTATTTCCTAGCCATCTTTTGAGTTGAGTCGTGGTGGTGTTAGAGCGACAAATGGAGTGAGACAATACGCTTTGGATCTGGACTCCGATCAAATCTGATTCATCAAGATTGTTAGAGTCTGTAGAGGTAGTTTCGGATATTTTCGACCCGGGTTGCGTATTTTCACTTCCCTTTATGCCGAAAACCCGCCGTATTCCATTCCTACACTTTGAACTCTTCTCATCCATCATGGCACGAAAAGATGATTTCTCCACCAGAGACGGCAAGTCTTTAGGGATTGTGGGCGTTTGTGCGATAGCATATCCCACCCGAGCTCTAATTTTCTCATCTTGACTTATAAGAGCTGTCTCATCATTGTAAAGAATTTCCTTCTCAATTTGGGATTTTACTCTATTTTGAAGAGTCGAAAGTGTTGACTGTGGGAAAAATAGTGATCCCGTGTCTTTCTGTAATTTAATTTCATTTTCCTTTGTGTGCTTGGGCTTTGACCTTGAGGCTTGCTCGATTCGAACGTATCCGCTCCTGCCAGACATCTTGCGTTCACGCTCGCTAGAAGAATATGAAGCTAGTAATGAGCCTCAAGAATAAGAGCATAATCATCTAAATCTGATCATTGGAATTTAGTTTGGAAGGTTGCAACGACGTAGCTCATTTCATTGCTTAGCAACTTAATCGGATACTTTTGAAAGTACAAGTTTGGAGATGAGTGTAAAAGCTATAGTTTGATGTCAGTGTGACTTCCAAGAGCTTCACTGAGAGTGAGTCTGTAACTGTAGGACATATCTTGCGCTAGTGAGATACACCGCACAAATTTCTTTGTGTGGAAGGTGGGGTAAAAATACACTGAAATCCGCAGTCACCATCTAGCCTCGAGACCAGGTAAGTAGATGTAGCAAGCTCTGAAGATGGAGCCATGTAGAGTAAAGATGACAGTTACAGCTGTGAATTTAGGGAGAAGACTGATGGAATAGCAAAGATAAAACTGAAGGTACCATGTTCGGATCTCTTTGAAAGGCTCAAAGAAAAGTGATCTAACAAGCTTCAGTACAAGTGACTTTATTTAGCCGAGCTTTAATCTCAACAAAGACTCATAAAAGTGACTAGTTTGAAGAGTTTTTAAACAAATTCCTGTTGCAGCAAATCCATAGATAGTTCGAGATACCATTAAATCAACTGTGATGATGATATGACCAAAAAGGTAAATAGACGCTAAAATGTGACTAGTAAATTTGGAGAAGCATGGCATAAGTAACAGAAAAAGTAGATTGGCTAGCATATAAGCTTGAAGAATAGCTAGAGTAAATTAGAGTATATTTCCAGGTGATTTCAGGATGTGAAGTGACAAGTTAATGAAATCTCGCTAGACGAGTATTACGCGGCAATATTTTAAGCTGTTTAGTTCACTTTTTAAGGCTATTAATTTTCTGTGATGAAATCTGAGAATCTTCTAGAATATTTTTGCCAGAGTTATTTGCCAGGATTTCTATACTCCAATTATCTTTAAGTTAACAGTGAAGAGATAAAATTATCCGTGAATAAACCATCTAAAGCTTGAAGGTCTAAGATAGTAAGAAAGGTTAAGCATAAATATATTTCGTAGCCTTGACCTCGATAGCGACTGTGATTCCAACCTTGGCCCATCTTATTGCGGCTTAATTTAGCCAGGCACCGGGTCTACTTACGGGCGAGATATTGTTTCTGGATTTTTAAGGTAGGTTATTTTCTGGAGTTTTGCGCATCTTTAGAGACATTTTCAATGTCACTGATTTTTTAAAATAAGACTTTACTTGTTATGATCTGATGAAATTGAAACACTGTTTTTTTGTAAAATAACACATCCTATACATGCTCTGGAACTGGTACTAAATTTTTCAGTATTCTAATTTCCACGAAGTTTGGGCCACTGTAGCGCAAATATTTAATTTTCGGACAGGGGAAATCTTATAGTCTGCGACCATTCTGCCTGGATGAAAGGTTGGTAGCTAGAAGCCTAACGAGGAATATTTCAAGTTAGCCTACTAATTTGGATAGACTCACCTAGTATAGCAAGTGGGTGAATTTCTGTAAGTGAGGTTCTTTGACCCTTTCAACCATGGATATTCCACATATCGAGTAGGAGTTAAATTGAAGCAGCACAAAGAAATCTTGAGTGTCATGGCCAGATATAGAGCAAAACCCTAATGATTTGATGAAAAAGATGCATCTGATAGAGCTCTACTCAACAGCTAAGGATCTCTAAAATTAACAATGGGTTATGATTTAGGTTTTCTGTTATTTAAAATTCCGATACTGATATCATACGGTCAGTGGAAGTTTTGGAATTACAGATGCTAGGGATTAGACTGTCGCCCAAGCGTTGGCTTATCGACCGGATGGGTGCATGACTATCTATTTTTTACTTTTGGGGATATTTCACCGGTCAGTTTCCTCTTCCAAATATTTACTATAATCAATCATCAACAAATGGAACTATCGAGAATTTGTCCAATGTTATGCATCGAGGAATATGATATGTGCCATGTAATATCATCCTCGGCCATGAAGATTACTTTTGTGTTAAGGGTGCCTTTGTGACTAAGATAGGGCTTCAATTAGATCTCGTTAGCGAAACTACCGCGTTGAGGAAAAAAGCAAAATTATACTTCTGCATAATTCTAGATATATTCTTGATTTACGCCTATCGAGTCTGACACGGCAGACAAATCGTATGTTTCCTTACTTTACCGAGAGAAGCGTCTGGTGAACCTTTGGATGGAGAGTTTGAGCGGGAAAAAAAATATTACTAGATCTAGAGAACTTCCCTCTAGACTAATGCTGATTGGATCGAAGATAAGGTGAAGTAGACGATTGGTCTTATTCATTGGAAATCTCGCTAGAATGACCAGATTATTTTAGAGCAGGTGAACGAGGCTGCTACTCTCCAATAGCCAACAGACTCGTTTCAAACAGCAGTCAAATGCAGCTTGTCCAAGACGGTCATGGCCAATGTTTTCAGCGAGTTAATTAACTGAATGAGGCTGCATATATCGTGTGTGTGTGGAGGAGCGGCAGGCATCAAGTCTTCTAAATCAAGGCATTCTGCTCTGAAAGCCAACATGAAGCCTCTCGTTAACTTTCGCCACTATTATTCTTGGTTGCATAAAGTTATCGCTGTATTTTCATGATTCTCATTGGAATACTTTTGATGTGAATTCCGTGTGTTGGGCGTAGAATTTCTACGTGTCGAGGAAAATTTTGGTAGGCTTATGCCATGGCGGGGCAATGAAGATCGCCTTCGTACCAACTTGGTTCTTTTAGTGGACAGGAAAGCTTGCTAGGAGTGCAGAATGCTCCTTGATCCACTGTAGACCAAAAGGGAAAAGGATTTAGTCTGTAGGAAGATGACGAGATCTCTGGAATCTGTCGATATGCACACGCAGTATTGGAGCAGTGTAGCAATGCTTGAGATGAGCTCGATTAACTTCAAACACATTCACTCGCATCGTCCACAGTCTGAATGCGGTCTAGACGGAGTTTGTTTGGCGGCGAGCACGACAGTTTTGTGGTACAGTGGAGCTCCGCTGATGATTGGCTGCAATTTTGTTTCCTTGGGCGTGCATGACAAGCGCATTGGCCGAATTCAATTGCCCAGCTCCGAACTCCCAGATTCGCGTGACGACGGTACCAGTGGCATCGACCGAGATGACGGCCAGGAGCAGCATTCACCCTTTGGCAAGATTCGCCGAATCGCTATGCATGGGCGCAACATTCTATCTACTGATGTGTCGGACAAAACGATCTATGTGAGTTAACTTCTGGTTGAAACACCTGCTGCAGAAATCTCAGCAACACAAAATTAAGAAGAAAATATCAGATTACTCCTTTATTTACAGGAGTCGAATGGGCCAGGTGAAGGCTTGCGATCTTCTCCATGATCATTCACTTACTAGGATGTACCGGAGAATATTCTTCTTGCGCGACCGGGCATAAGGGTTGAGTGAAGATGAAGATGCCCGCAAGCAAGAACATTGAAGGTGCGCGAAAGGGAAGACTTCTAATTGGGTGAACATTATCCAGAGGGTGGCAGAGGCAGCCGCTACACATCGACTCTAAAACTATATTCAAACTAGCAGAACTATTTTGGGGGCGTCAGCATTCTAGGTAATCCACATAGGCTGGGATAGGTGACACTTGGCTCTCAAAGTCTAGTGTTGTACGTCGACACGACGTAAAACAATTGAAAAACAAACTGCCAATGTACTGCTGGAAGCTCCATAAATAGCTCAAGTGCAGAGGTAGCCATTTCGAGGGGGATACGCCACACGTGTCTACGGTCTCCCCTACGACCAGCCAGCTCCCACCAAGTTTGCAGAGCTAAGAATAGTTGCAACATTGGCCGAGAGGTCTTTTACTCGCAGCGAGTCTATTACACTCTCGAACCCACAAGACGGCTCGAAGAAGATGGTCCAGGGTAATACCTAACATACCCTCGCTATCAGGAATCTTCCAGAACTTCATAACCTCCAGTTTTCTCCAGGATGCGAGTGGCAGAAGGTAGCGTGTAATTTTCCGAGTCGCACACAATACTACAGCGTCTGGCTGGCCAGCTTTTCTGAATGCTTCAAAGAGTGAGCGTGTCTTGGGATCTAGTCCATGTATCGATATTGGGGGAGCCCTGCATCCAGTGCTTCTTGCAGGTTTCCCCAGCTACCGTACACCTACAAATAGCCTTTGTTTAGCTAGTTGGAGAGGGGAGACGACAAGGGTAAAAGACTTCTCTCAGTGTACGATTGAGGGAAGACTTGAGAGAGAGGTACTGTAAGAGGGGACCTTGAAAGGGGGTGGAGGGGAGGATATACTATTCGAAGTATAGGGATCCTTGGCTGTAGATAGGATGCACCAACATTTCCTTCCTAGTTCTGGCTGAGAAACGGTAACAATGACATCAGAGCCTTGCCGTCCTTACCCGGGTCTTCAGCACGCAGTAGGAATGCGCGAGTGGGCAGTCTAGATGTTGTACTTTAGCAGGCGCAGGGTAGATCATATCACCAACGTAATACACGCCTTCGATGGACGAGGCCATGACCCTGAGCGCCCTCCGCCGCCAGCTCGGACGCCCGTTGGAGTGGGGGAAGGACCAAGGCGTATTTTCCGGGCAACTCTGCGCTGGAGAGCGACAGGTCGAGGCGGCAGCAGTAGCAACAAGCCATGTCGCATGGGAGAGATCTGTCGGCCTCGGCGGCACACCTGAGTTCGGGATGTCTACATCGACAGGGAAGGCGTGCAGACGCGAGGGGCCGGACGACGGGATCTACGGCTCAGAAGACCAAAGGCAAGCTCACAGACTCCTAAACTTCAGAGTGCTCTGCGCTCAATCCCATTTTGACAGTCATGCGACTCTACAATGTCGCTAGACCCGCCTCATCTCCGCCTCCAAGTCTTCCAGGCTCTCCGCTTACAAAGGGTAAGTGAGCGACGCCTCAGGGGGGCTAGAGAAGCACTCAAGGCGATGGACGGTTATTGAGGCTGTAGAAGTCTAGAAGATCGATGCCAGAAAAGGGGTAGCGCGGTATTTGGGGGCTGATGGCAGCTCATCGCTGACCTGAAGACAGATGTACAGCCAGGTTAGACTTTGCCCGGAAAAAAGTTGCGCCCTACCGAGACTGTACAACACAAAGTCTCGTGATACTCGTAGTGTGAGGGTTAACAGGACCGGCTTAGCCTCGTTTCGCTGTGCTAACATCCATGTCCAACAGAAAGCAGTTGCTTACGCTAGAAGTAATCGCACACCTCTGCGCGCTCGTCCGCCGACAGGGCTATGAAACAGTAAACCTCATCTTCATTATTGTCGTCTGAGGCCGCAATAGTCACGACGCCCGAGCGCCAACGGCTTTTGCCTGATCCACCCTCCCCCACCCCAATCCCATCTGTTCGTGCTCAGGCTTAGCCTGTCGCTCCCCCACAGAATCGCTGTTATCGACTCATTCAGCTCGGTCAAAGTGTGGTCGAGGCTTAGGCAGAGTTCCAAGCCGTTCCGTGGCCACATGGTGAAATGAGACTTTAGCTCTACAATACACAGCATGCCGCAGTGACGCTTACATCGCACGCCATAGAACTAGCTTGCCCGATCACTGACGTATTCGTACATGGCAGTGGTTTCCTCACCTACCCAGACTCCTCCCACCAACCGCCAGATATTGGTTATGAATGACCAATTAGAGTCCTTGCCTCTACTCTTTCAATGGAATAGAAAACACTCAGAAGCTCTTCAAATCTACACTTAGTGTTTGCGTCAAGAGACCACATAAGATTAAATCTGTGATTGGAAATAATGGTCCATTAGTTTCATTCGTCTAAAGAGAGTACGCCAGCTCTAAAAATCTACCAAACCCACCCTTGCCCATATATTTTAATGCTCCAAACTCGCAAAACAGAAGTGAATAGAGCTCAAGCATAGCAGCTCCTAGTAGGATCCTCATTGACTCTAGCATTGTCTGTACCAAGGTTAGAGGATGACGCCGAAATCTTCGAATCAACGACGGCCAACTTGTTAAATCTGTCTTTCTCGCCAGTGCTAGAGAAATCCATTCCCCTCAATTGCCCGGATACATTACTACTGCGCGAGTCATAGCAGGAGTTCATATTCTGCTGTGCATCATCTCTAATCGTTCTATGCAGACCGTTCATTACTAATAACCTCCTCGTACCGACGTAGAGAACTACATCTACAAATCCACTACATGCCATTAATGTACCCGCAGCAGCGAAGAACTCCGGTGGTACATTGAATCCTGCCATAGAGGCAGCCCGACCGACCGCTAGGGGTAGTGTCAAAACAAGGTAAGCAAGAGTGTAGACAACCATATGGCTAGCACTTTTCAGAATGTAGGTTCGACTTGTAGCAAATGAATTGGGTAAACAATTTGAGGTCCTGGGATCGGGATTCATTTGATAATTTTGGTTGGTTGGATTCGCATAAGCTGGCTCATTGACGATGCCTGTGTTACCGTAGAGTACTGATTGATGTAGAGGTAGTGCACGAGGTATTGGAGAGTTGGCGTTTATTCGAAGTCGTAGGTAGAAGAAAATAAACGTATACAGACCGACAGAGCCCAGTTGGGAAATGAAAATCCAGAGATAATGAAGGTAAATACGTTCTGCGTCATGTTTTGAATTCACCCAACACTAGATAGGTTGTCAGTAAGGGTCGTCCGATATTAGTTACGAACAAAGGGCCAACCAACCCAAGCACCGGCGGGGACAAAAAATCCGCTTCGAATTCGAATCGGACCAATTCCAGCTAGGATGATTATAAAGACCCAGAGTGAGGCTACCAAGGTGATGAAGGTGCGATGTGATACGGTTTTCTGACCCACAATATTTACAAACGTGTGGATGGCAATGGCGAGGGCCCAGAGACCGGAAGCTACATCCCCAATCTGAATTAATAGTCCTTGGATGTCACAGACGAGATTTGGTCCGATGAGTTTGTTTTGCGAGATCCACCAGAACGAAGTAACGAAGCTAGATGCCTGGATTATATCGGCGATGAAAAGATTGTAAATAAGTAAAAATACTTGAATGCGTGCAGCGGAGTTGGATGAGATTTGCTCCCAGTATATCATTCGGTAGGTGAAGAAAAGAAAGAAGCTAACGGTGCAGAGAAGAGATATAAGTCCACATGTTCCCAAGGCAATCATGCCAATGCGAATGCTTTCTGGCAATGGAACCAATGAACTGTCGGCTAGAGGCATAAATTCGTTCATCATATTCTCCTTTGCACACTCTTAGCAAACTTTCGATTTTCGCCATGCCGGAGAGAGCACAAGAACTTACATGAGCTCACTCACAGCGCAGCAGCCCCTTCCCACCCCTTGGCTATTATTATTCGGATAAGATTTGAAAATATTGATGGTATATAATACGAAATGGACGAAAACTGCTTGAAAGAGAGTGGTAAATTTTTAGCCTGCTACAGTTCGGTCAACGAATGATCATGGCCCTTAAGGAAATTTTGAGCAGAGGAGGGAGAACATATGGATATAGGCTGGGTGAGAGCGGCTCGAGAATGTACATTTATAACTAGTCCGTGCATTTGGTGGAACTGTCACTGTGCAGAATGTTAGTGTCGTGGGCTCTCGTTCAGCCAGACAGGGGCTGACCTGACGTCTGAAACCGGGGGAACTATTATGGGCAGGGGTGATATGGAGCAGGGAGTGTGGGCCCTTGGAACGTGATATCAGCCGGGGCTATCATCTTATTGACTTGAAGGAGGCTAACTTTGCACAAGGCCAGCCACCTAGTATTGCAGCCTCTAAATGACAAAATTCTCACGAATGAACGTTGCGGAATAACCATCTATCTTCCATTCGCCTGGAATTTAGCGGCAGCTAGACTCTGGGCTGTACTGTCAGCGGAGAAATCGTGCGGACTTCCTATTCTCCGACCTGCAGTCTGCAAAGATCGTGCAGCTTGAGAATTCAGAAATACCCGCTAATGCTGCGGCAACCGACAGAAAATTTGTCACATCCAAATTGCCTAAATGACGATGCCAATATTTTGGTGTCATTCTTTTCGTTTCTCAGTTTTCGACTGGGTAGGATGTGTAGGTACTTCCTGCCTATACCTAAGGAAACCTAAACATCAGCTGGTGTCTCCTCTATTTTACCCCTTTACGAAAGCCTTCAAACAGTACCATACCTCCCAAGTCCTCATTTGATCGTAAACTAAGAGAAGTCTTTTACCCTTATTATGTCTCCTCTCTGATCAGCTAAACAAAGGTTACTTGCAGGTGTATGGAAGCTGGGAAGACCTGCAAGAAGCACTTGATGCGGGGCTCCCCTAATACCGACATATAGACTGGATCCCAAGATGCAGTAACTCTTTGAAGCATTCAGAGAAGCTGGCCACTTAGACGCTGTAGTATTGTGTGTTACTCGAGACATCACACCCTGTCTCCTGTCACTCGCGTCTTAGGGCAAACTGGAGGTTGAATCGAAGTGCTGAAAATTGCTAACAGAATGTGTATGCTATAAAATAGCTTCGCTTAACTATATTGACAATAGGAGCCCTCCTGGCTATTTTCGGGCTAAATCTCATCTTTAGGGTCTTTATGGTCATAGCCAAAGGTTCGTGGAGAACGCATGATAATATCAATAATAAGATCTTATGTCAAAGCAGGAATATATACAGAAACCTCCCATTAAAGATCGAGGCGCTAACATTAGCTGCTCACAGAGTGGTGTTATATGTACCAAATGGGCTATTTGGATGTTATATACGAGAAGGAACCAAGGCAACTCGACATAGCCACTATTCTTCCGTAAAAAAGAAATACAGATTGAAGAATTGAGACTAAACACTTAATGTCGAATTAGCTACATGACAGTGGGAAGCTAAGTACAAATAATAGTAGAATGATAATTTGGGTCTAAATCCATACGAGACGCAGTCTGCTTATTGATAGTATAGTTTCCAAATTGGGTACCTAGCTTTCAATACAAATATCATATTGTTGATAAGTTGTATCAGTTGTGAATTTATAGACGGAGCTTTGAAAAAGCTGATAATTTATTAGTATAATCATGGCAGTTCGCAGGCTTAAGGCGGACTATTATCAACACCCGTCAGTGGTGTCCCCTACAAGCCTCCTATTGAAATTAGTAAGTTCTGTTGAAAAGGTGGCTGCATTCTGCGGTCAAACACTGAGCTGAATGACTATTCATCAAGGGCAATATATCAATCATCTTTCAAGGAATATGGGAGGCAAGGAGCACTGTACAAGATGTGGCCTGGGTCAGAGAGGAGCCCAACGTGCTAGATTGTCATAGACTCAAGTAGTACAATAAACACACCTCTCTCTTTCGCAGATTTAAAGTTAGTACCTCTCAGGTAAAACGGCAAAGGGTGAGTCTCCCACTAAAGACGTAACACTCTTCTTAACTCATCTAGATATGGGTATAAATTCTTCAGTTTTTGAATAAAACATAGGAGCTGGTTATGATATTGGAGACAGATGATTTGATAAGATCATAAAGTTCATCGATATCTATGACTAGTTTTAATTTTTTGCTCAAGACACCTACATACTTTTTCTCACGAACGGACCTTAAAGACTTGTGATGAAAGAGCCACTGAGAAAATTGATCGAGGTGGAAAAGTGATAATCTCGCACTCTAATTTTTCATCCGATTCAGACAGATCTTTGAGACATGCAATAGGGGCCTTGTTGAGCAAAATTGGTGGTCATACATATGGGACACGGATCTAAATACAGGTTTTAGTCAGCAAATATGAACTGATCGATGTCGAGGAATTTTTCGCGACAAGCATAGCATAGCAGCGCTGGTCTAGGTGTGTTAGGCCGCCAAAAAGCTTCATCTGATACCATCTGTATCGTAGCTTGAGCCCCAGGCTATCCAGATCTCTACAGGCTCCACTCAAACTATTCTCCACCAACGCTTGCATCGCTGATTCAAGACAGGCAAAAATTCAACAGCATTGCGATTAGGGTCGGATTTGTAAGTATGCTTAAACACCGGGTTTCAGACTGGAATTCTATAAAGTTTCTGTACATTTAAGCTTGATAGTTAGCCTACATCCAGATAAATGAAACTGCCGCCGTATAAAAAACCCTGTCCCGCGACCTAGCCCTCCTGTACGAGTACCCACTGTAGACAATAAGCTTTACGAGGACATACCCTTTGCATGAAGAATTTGCTTTGGTGCACATCAAATCGTTGAATCAGACTAAAGTATGTTACAAGGACTTGCCAACGAATTGAAAGCTCAGACGTACAGTGAGCCATGAGATAAAGCCCTGCCAGATTACGGAAGTTTTCGCAGGTGATACCGACAATAGTTGCGATTTGGTGCCACGAACGGTCGGCTGCGTCTCGTTGCCCTGAGCCGTACGCTTTGCATTAACGCCTCTACAAGCCGTCATGCCGTAGTTTCAGCATCTGCGGCCATTAAAAGTATTTTCGAGCACGGAATCTTCCCACGGCCGTTGGTAATAATGCGGCAGGCAGTCGCGCATGGACTAAGACTTAAAATCTATCGGTCTGGGGACCGAAGTCGAGCGGGCTTGCCACCTCAGTGGTCATAACGCATTGAATGAAGAATAAAGATGGTGTTGCCTTAGATTCAGCAAGGCTGGGCTTTGTCCCGGCGGGAGATCTAAGTTGGGCCACGGGATAGGCAGGCTGCTTGTTGACCGGCCATCACTACACCCTAACGCTTTGTCTGCAGCGTTGTGGCCGTACCAGTAGGAATAAGAGATTTTCCGGGACTTAGCCCTAGTCCGATGTATGTAATTAATGTCGTGATAGACAAGCTAGAGTTGATGTTCTTCTGGAGTCCAAGAGCTGGCCATAAACTTCTGCATCGCCATGTAAGTTAGAACTCTCAGGTCCCCTCGTAGCCCCTCTATTTACGCGAAGCTTGGCCTGTGCACGCCAGGCATCTAGGGCAGCGAGCATGGTTCTCCTTGGCCAGGCTCCCATGTCTATCCGTGCCGTGAGTCCATCATCAGGGGTCGGGGAATCTGTCGAAGAACAACGAGGCCAGTTGAGGACTTTCTTTTTGGTTGAGGTTATATGTCGACACAGCGATTACTGGTATTTTCATTGTTCAATCTCAGTCTATGACTTTATAGTACATGCATATCTTTACATACAGCTGAGGACACCTATACCTTGGGTTGTATGCCTCCTTCGTAGCTCCATTCAGACAGTACTACCCCTCGTCAGTCTTCATCCGATCGTTAACTCTGAAGAGCCCCTTACCTTCACCATCTCCCCTCCGAGGCCAACGAAACTAATAATAATAATCCATTTATGTCCTATTTGAGTTTATAACTATGTAGGACAGACTATTTAAATACAACTTATCTTTTCCATTCTAATTAGGGGTTTCTTTAATTTGATGGTGGGATCCCCATTACTGGTTCACCAGCCAACGAAACTAAGGATATGTGTAGGTATAGGTCAGCAGCGAATATTTGCTAAAACCACCAGATATGAGGCTGCTATGACATTCTTATCTCGAACACACGATCTTCTTCCATTATTTGCGCATCGGGATAAAGTGAGGGCTTTATACAAACGTCAAAAGAGTCTTCACTGCAAGATTTTAATTGGACTCTGCCCTGAACAACATCTTCGTGCCATTTTTGCATCAGAGTTTACAGTTGAATTATTGCAAAAAGAAGCTCCTTGGCCAATCTCGGATTATTTTAGATCTGCAAGTTCGAGCCAGAGTGGAAAATTTGGGAGAGTCACCGCGAGTGCACATCAAATCTTCGTCCTTCCACTACTTTCATCTCAGCTTGTCAGTCCTGAGGTAAATTTTTGGATGCCTACCAAATTCATTGGCTGAAATGAGCATTCGATAGCCGCGTGTAGGGGATATTCTCTCACGCTGATGCAGAGTTGCCCAAAATGAAAGTCTATATAGCTTAAGAGACTGTTGGATATTAATGCGCACGCTGATGGGAGGAAAATTTAAGACCTGTCAGTGGTGTCCCCTATGATACTTCAACTCTCACTGTTGAGTAACGACTACGACTGCACTCCGATGAGAGTTCCTTAGCACCATCTGATCAGATGATAGGGTCAAATCCCTAATCATCATTCGCCTACTCCTACAGGTTATGGAGCTGAGCCATCCGATAAGTTTCCGGAGTCTACCCAGCTCATGTTAAGGCGATGGTGAATTGGATCAAGCTATGTCGCTGGATCAATTGATAATGGTAGACAGCAGAGTATGT